ATGTTTAATATGTCCCGTGGGGGTGTTTGGTTTTTTTTACTCCACTGTTCGTTGTTTGTTTAACATAAAGTCACGCTTAGTACGAAAAGTAAGACAAGAAACAAGTAGAACCAGTCCACCAGTCCACCAAAGTTTGCTGGCGTCCTTGAAAAGCGTGACAATTGTCTTCCTTTCTAATATAATATATTTTGTTGTGTATGTCACCCTGGTCTCTACTTCATGTCCGCCGTTTCTCTGCACTCCTTAATTATCTTTTGACGTGTCGTGTTTTCTATCCTAGTCATGGTGGCATGACCAAAACATTTATTTTTTTTTACATTTTAAGCGAGGGACGGCAATAAGTGGGTTTTTGTACGATAGGTCATTTCGTTCACTTGCTTGGACTCAGCCTATAACGGAAGAGGTAGGCCACGCAATAGATGAATTTATGGAGTCAAGCGAACTCTGAGAGATTATAACATTCCAATTGAAAGAGCTGCAGAGCTGGCCTACCATAAAAACAACTGCATCTCTCTTCTTTGCTCAACGGCAACAGAAGATGAAAAAGTAAAAATGAAAGTAAAGCTTTGACTCTGATTGTCAGGGCTGTACTGGGCTGATGGAGTACACAACATCCCCACATATTGACGGAAATGAGCCCTAAGAAAACAAAAACTTTCCCCTAGTAGGAATCGAACTCCAGTCTTCTGCGTGCAAAAATAAAGAGCCTAAACTTTAATAATAGCACAAACACTGAGAAAGCTGCAATCTCATAACCGTTGTGATCATAATGTAGACTGGAGATTTTTTTAAACCCGGAAAGTATGGTATAAAAGCAAACGAGACATCTAGACCAAACTACAGAATGTTTTATGAACGTATCGGTCCATGATCAATTGATTGTCACTCATAATATGACGGTATACGTAAGTGTCCATGAGAACACAGTGACTCCCGCATCATTCTAGAAATTCCTTAGACCTGCGTCTGCACTCTGTGGTGTAGCAGTAGGGAGCTTTGCCTTCTTTCTTACTTTATCCGTCCTCTTGTACCTCTAGGGCGTCGAGGGGCGAAAGAGCTCCCTGTCTCTAGCAAATGTGGTGGCCTGGCAGAGTGGGATATTGTATGTTCTCAGCGTATCCTTCATACCCTTGATCCAGGTCTTTCTTGGTTTTCCTCTTGCCTTGTGCCCTGATACTTTTCTGTAGTAGGCTTTAGTGGCTAGCTGGTGAGGTGCAATATGTGTGAGATGTTCAAACCACCTGATTGTTTGCCTTCTAATGTAGTAGAGGACAGGTGTTGTTACCATCATTTCTCTGATCTTGTTGTTTCTGACCATGTCCCGTCTGGTTTTGTTGACGGCTCTCCTTAGACATCTCCAGACTTGCACTGGTAGGTCAAAGTGGGGATGAAGATAGAGTTAATGAACTTGGCTTTGGTCTCAATGGGGGTGTTTGGATGTTTGAGGAGTGGGGCAAGCTGGTACAATGTAGCTGACGCTGTTAGCCTTTTGTACTCTCGTCTCAATTTCTCTGTTGAGACGCCTGTCTTTCAAAAAGATGCTACCAAGATACTTGAACTCGCTGACTTGTTTCAACGGATCTCTGTCGATGCTGATATAAAGGTTGCCTGGTGTTCTGCTGATTTTTATTGTCTCCGTTTTGCTTTTACTGATCTTCATGTTGAGCTTTTCACATTGTGTGTTCAGCCTGTCTATGAGCTCTTGAAGTTGCTCTTCTTTCTCGTATGCCAGGCTTTGATCGTCCGCAAACAGCATCTCATTCAGGTCTACCGGGTTGGTGTTTGCTTCTTTTGTCATTTTATCCATGTATATATGTGAGGCAGCGTGGTGGAATCAGGCTCTCGTCAAAATAATCAAAGTGAAGAAACTTGCATTTTTCCGCAGGTTTGCGAATTTTTATCCAATTTATTTTACTTTTTTGTTTTTGGCCCAACACCTTTCATGCCCATTAAAGAACTCATTTTTGTGTGGATTTTCTGAAAAACGTTGATTAAAGGCACAAAAAATATAAATTTTCAGTTACCACGGACTGTTAAGCTAAGGAGATAACTAATCTTTGGCAGCCATTTTCTCACTATTTTTACCTCTGAAAACAGGTGACCCCCTCCTCCTTCATTCGCTAATATATCGATTTGTATTCAAGATAAATGGATATTTTTTTCATCCAAATAAAGACAAGTGAACAAGCTTTAAGATGATACCAGTAACTCTTCCTGCCCAAAAATTGACGAGAGCCTGATTCCACCATGCTGCCTCACATATTTGCCGTCGCACGCAGGAAACTTGAGTTCGATTATCGCAGGAGGAAAATGTTTACCGATCATCTCAGCCCTTCTGCTGGGACGTTGTTGTATCCCTCTCAACCTGGACTGGCCCAGACAGGCAAGGTCAAAGCCCACCTCCTAGATGATGTAACCTGAGTTTATTGGGGGGGGGCGGAGGTACGCCCCATATCAAAAGATAATTCCTTAGTTCTTCAATGTATAATGTTTAATGTAATCTTAAGGACTCCAAGCGACCGTTAACCGTACAGGACATTCACCAACATTGAAGTCAAACCTGCTCTAACAGGCACCTGTATAAGACAATCACCTGTACAAACGGTCACTTTTCACATCATATACACAATAAAATGTGTCACGACGTGGAGGAATCAGGCGCTCGTGGAGTTATTGGTGT